TGTCGACTGCACGCGCGCTAATCGTGGTACCTAACCGACTCGTGTCAATAATAAGCCTTTATAGAAATAGGAACATTGTCCTCGACGTAGATAAAACGGGAGTGCAACAGAATCAACTTTTCTCGCGCAGAAGGTCTATTGACACCGGGATTTCGGAGTTATCTTGAGTCGCTAATGAGAGAGTAATTAAAACATTTGTGATAAGAGAGTGATAGTAAAATTTGGTAATTGGACAGTCTCATTTCTTTATATTTCGAAATAGAAGATGGCGACGTGTGGTTTATATAATGGAAGGTGTTTCCTCGGTCATATAACATCTCTTTTCCTTCTTAGTTTGAAGGCATTTCCATTCGAAATGGTTACTGCGAATGCCGCGTGTCTATGAGGAATGACAAGGCGTGATAAAATAAATTATTGTAGCAATTTTATTTTTTTAATTTAACATCTCAACAAGATGCCCTCGCGACATTTTGACTTTAACATTCAGATGTTCACAGGCGCGATTACACTTTACTAAGGCTTTCGGATCTGAAAGCCGTGGTGTCTATCCGTGGTGTGTATCCCTACCATTACCATTCCTACAATTTAAGTTAAATTTACCAGACAAAAGTTATCAATTTATAATTATTTTGAAGCATGTTGCACTCGACTCGAACTCGCGACCCGTTGAAAATTCATTAGCCCTACTTTGGAGCAATGAGCTCGTTCGCATCATATGAACGTAACGATTTTGGCAGCATCCGTTGGGTTTTCACTATCAGCGCTGGCGCATCGCCCGCTGCGTCGCGCAGACGTCAATCCACGCGTTAATACGTAACGGCTCCCGGTTGAACGTTTCTTGTGCAGTATTAGTAAACATTGAAACAACCGTGGGAGTGGAATTGGCGACTCGGACTGTTTTTTTCGCATTTCTGTTTATCGAACGGGCTTTATTCGTTCCCAAGTTAATTGAATCGATTAAAATATCAAATAATGAACGAATCTATTCTTGAAGTGACGTGTCCTAAATGAGAATTGCAACACTGTAAACTGCGTTTGATTATAAAATATTTCATACACTTTCTGTATATTAAATGGACGGTAGGAATATCGATTCCGTCCGTGTTGTGAACCGCCGTCCACAGAAGAAAAAGCCGTAAGGTTTAATCGGGTTTCCGATTCAGTCTGTGGGTTTCCAAATATCCAAAGTCCAAAATATGTCGACAGCATATCTTGTTTAGATGTTATTTGGTGGGCTATGTCACCTACCATTAAGTAAACTCTATGCTTGAGTTGAGTGTCTATCATAAAATTATTTAAAATCTTAATTGTAAAGAAACTCATGACTTTACACCTTTGGTGTTTTTATAGATAACCCAGCTCGTCCTTGGTGCCGAACTAATAATTGGGAAGGCGTTATCAGTCCAAATCGGGCCACTATCAGTGTGCCCCGTATTTTCGGCATGGCAACATAGATACTACTATGGTTAATGAGCGATAACCTCATGATAACCCGTCTTTGATTTACGATGTTGCGTGTAAAGTAGTGTTGCCCAAATTCAGTCTTGGTCTTGCAGTCTTGGTCTTGTTCTTGCGTTTTTGCAAGACCAAGACCAAGAACAAGACCGCGTATTTTTAGCAAGACCAAGACCAAGACTGACCGTGCAAGACTTGAGCAAGAACAAGACATATCCTGCAAGACTCTTGCGTCTTGCAGCTAGGACTTAGCGCTATTTCACTGAGTAGTTAGGTGTAACAGTTCGGTGTATAGGTAGGTACGCTTAGGAATTCTATGAGACGCAAAAAACTGTATCAAAGAATATGAAAAACTGGACCTATGCGCATTACGACTAATACCATAAACATAGCAAATAAAAAAAATATTAAAATCAAACTGAGTGCATGCATAGTTATGTTTTAACCATCGGGACTTTGATAATGCGGCATCAAAGGTTTTGTACTTACTTCTCAAAGAAATTTGCCGCTTTTCGGAAGTACATGGTTATGATACACGCGCCGGCGGCTTCTTTTGAAATCTAAAACAATCGTTGCCGCCACGCCGAAATCATAACATTTGACACTATTTGATTGCCGCCATAGGGCGTAGGTATACTCATGCAAAATAATTTCGAATTTTTTTACACGCTTTATATTATTGTTAACATAGAAATAGGTTAAGTGATGAGTCAGCCAAATGGTTACTTTGTATTAATTCTTGGTCAAAAAAATGGATATAAAGTATCATAACCTAATTAAAAAAGCGGAAGGCGGGAGATGCATTTAACGGGGCTTATGTTTAATCTGGTATCCAGAGAGAAACCCCGCTATCTCTACGAGAAGTTAGAATGGGCTGAAACTTCGCACTCTCTTAACACAAGGGGCAGGACGCAGAATCTTTTACTCATCCCTAAGCACAGGACATCGAACTTCCAAGGAGGATTCAAATATGCCGCTTCAAAAATATGGAACGATCTGCCTCCACCTCTTAGAGCTAGCTCTAAGGAGATGACCTTCACGACGTTCAAGCGGCATGTTAAACTGGACCTCCTTGGAAAGCAGATGTGCAACAATTAATGGTTATATTGTTATTCTATAATGTATATGTTGGCTAGGGTATATCAATCTCGGAATTATATTTATTATATACTACTTTACTAAAAATCACTTCTTTACTTCTATGCGCGGGCCAGTCTGAAAACCAGCGCTGCTGAGTGTGACAAGCATTCAGCAGCATAGCTGAGACTGGTACCGATTGCCATCTCTTATATATTTATTACTATATTATTATTCTTTTTATGTACACATTTAGTTATAAGTTATAAGTTGTAAATATATATATTTTATGGCAATAAACGTTTTGAATTTGAATTTGAATTTGAAAAAGTATTATTTAATTAATTAGTTATTATAAATCATAAATGTTTATTAAGAAACAGTTACTTCCATGGAAAACGACATATAGGTCAGTTGATTTTTCGAATTTCTTATCAAATCTTCAGTTATTTATTAATCTGCTTGATCTTTACTATGGCTATATTCATTCAAGCGCACAATGTTCCAATTCTAATACGTTTTTCTAGGATTTAAAGTAAACTCTAATAAATAGTAATAGACTAATAGGTAATTGCAAGACTTGCAAGACTCTTGCTGCAAGACCAAGACCAAGACCAAGACTGGGAGCGCAAGACCAAGACCAAGACCAAGACCAGGTGTATTGGCGCAAGACCAAGACCAAGACTGGCTAAGTCTCGTCTTGTTCTTGCGTTTGGGCAACACTAGTGTAAAGTAGTAAGTAGCGCGTACCGCGTGGCTGGAAACTTGCTAGTAATGACACAAGTATAAGCTAGCACTATTTTGATAAAACAATCGCGGAAATGGACGAGATCCGAAGCCACGACATGTACACGACGTGCATCACTTTTGTATCCGTCTTAAAACGTATGTTAATTGGGGGGACAGTCCCTCCCGTAACTGCGGCTGCAAAGCAACCGAAACGTCCTGCCGTAGTAGTATAATAATTAAAAAAAAATTAACTACTTTCGCGTTTTATACCTTTAAACTGATTAATTTATATGTGTACTATCTGCGTAAACTACAGACAATAAGTATGTATTTAGGTTCTCATGAAAATTGTCAGTTTCGAAAAGGTAAGAGTTTTAAAAATGTACTAACTAACAATTTAATGAATTGTTTGGACTTTGCAACGGTACTAAGTACTAAGATTACATAACAATTAAGACTGTCACTACTAATTAGTCATCTCTTATCAGTGCAGAGGTCAGAGGGACCACATTTCAGAGTACCAAGAATCTTCTAGATCGACAACTTCGGAGCCTAGGTTAATCCCGCCTCGTGTGCCCACTTACTCTCATATTTGTTATGGTGCGGTCATAATATGTGTTAGGCAATTCCGAACAATATATCGCGACGCTTATTCACTTAAGTTAAACGGCTTCGAAGGGGCTATTAGGTAATCTCTGAGAGTAACATCAAAATGTGATTCAAGGTGAAGTTGACCATATTTGTAGTACCACAAAAATACAATTATAATTGACTGTTCAAACTGAGCACTAAGTTTGTGAATTATCAGTAATATTAGTATGTTAAAAAAATCTCAAACAAGTTTAATTAAATATATCGCATTTTAAACCGTTAAATTGTATTATTTAAATGTGTACTACTCGCGTAAACTACAGACAGTATTTAATATTGGTATGTTTAGTTGGCGTTTACTTTATTTATAAACGCCTCCGATGTCCCACACGGAGAAAACAAAATTTCGCTTTAGCTGACTGGAGAAGAGAACCTTTTGCTTCTAAAAGGGATTCTTGAAACTTTTCTTTTGACAATTTATAATAAAAAATAAATATTAGAAGAAGAGTTTATACGCATACTGATAACGAAGAACATTTACTAATGACCGAAATTCAATTAACCACGATTACAAATTCCGGGATAAAAGGTCACCGAAGCTTACAATGTTGGCTGCCCAAAGTTGTGCGTAGTCGAAGATAAGTCTAGGAAGCAGAGGTCAACATTTTATCAATCGCGTTACACGCGCTGCAGACATGAGTAACACTTGTAGTACAATGGGCCTTCGCGAAAACTATTATCTAGACTGCATTGAAGACGGCAATTAATAGACTCGAGATATACAGTCTCATATAGTGTAAGTGAAATACCGTTTCCCCCTCGTGGGGCATGGGGCGAACACATTTCTGTGTCCGTTTCACTGGTCGAGTTAATTTACAGGCAATTGATTTCCCGGAATACGAACCCACAACCTCACGTCCTTTACACACTGCTAGACAATATGTTTAACCAACAGAGGTGGTCAATTTTAAATCTCGCGCACCGTAACATTAATTCTAATGTCACTAAGAAACCAATTTATTTTTGCCTAAAGAGACAAAACTTTCTTAAATTGTGAAAGATATTTCCTCCTATTTAACCTCCTATGTAATTTCATTTTAAGAAATTTTTTCAAACTATATTGTACTAAAAGAGATCAATAAACTTACCTAAGTACATAGGCATCAACTTCATCACTCTGAGTGAAAGATATAATCTCACAGCGTACTATTTTCAGGACATTTTCCCACTGTTGTCTGTAAAAAAGTTAAGGTTTGAAATAAAAAATTAACTGTTAATGGTATTTTATTATTGTAGAGAAGACTTTATATATTCCAAATGATATCATATACATATATATAAATGCATATCATTTGAAATATGCAAAAGAGAAGAATTTGAGAAAACCATGTTTATACATTTTAGGATTAACAAACAAATATGTATTCTTTGTAATTTAAGTAATATTTCAGCTTGTACAGTATCACATTAAAATAATTTAAAGAAGAACCAATTTTAAACTTGCCGGCACCTTGTCATCATAATTTGGAAAACAGGATTGGATAAGTTTTTACAAGGTTTTGGAGGCTAACCAGTTCTGAGATTCTTGGAACCTTAAGTTACCGTTATTAAGAGAGTTTGAAGTGAGATTCTTTTATGCCGGTGTCAAACCATTTAATATTTAAAACATACATTCATATTACATAACTTATAAGGTACACTTATCAATAAAGTTATATTAATATACCTGCATAATTAACACGCAAAGAAGATGGTAAAAAAGGCTGGGAAGTAGATAATTTTAGTTAGGTTTTTTTAACCAAAACACAATGTAGTTAAAATTAAATTGCGCGCTGACAGAATAAAGATGGTGGCTAGAAGCCAACCAATAGTAGACCATTGTGAGGTTCTGAAACGCCGGCAATACGCTGAAACAGCTGATTCCAGAAGGTTCCCAAACAATAACATGTAGCAATTACTGTTCAACCTCCTCACACCTCAAATAATAATTTAACTGCCTCCTTTTTAGCATGCACCGATTTTGCAATTTCTGCAAATCCGGTCTTAGGTTAGAATAGCTAAGTCGCCGGTAACTATTTCGTTTCGTAGAACCCTTGCCTTCCTTAAATATTTGGTAAAAATGGACAATAGATCAATATAATATTTTACCGAGTAATTTTTCTTAAGTCAGCACGCTTGACCGGCGTAAACCAAATTTCAATCAGCTTTTCGACACCTTCAAAGAACTGCTCATTATTGTCACTATTTGATATTATTTCCGTTTCAGCCATAGCGAAATTATTAAAATTTATTGATTTTATTAAACTTTTGTTTTAAAATGAATTGCAATTATATTATAACTCTGTCACAACCAACATTCACGGGCGTCGAAAAATGACTGAATAAAAATGTTAAGTGACTGTTGAATGATGAACTGAAAACCTGAAGTGGAGCGAATTTTTTTCTAGTATGACAGGAGCAAAGGGTCGACATTGCACATCCGTCAATTTTCGATATAATGTTGCCAGTCACAAGAACTTTACGAATAAAAGCTTAAAAATACGAACAATAAACTAAATATAATAAAGAATAAACAAGTTTTATTTAACTATTTTGTAAAGAAAATGCCCATAAAATCAGATTTTGATTGTTTTCGAAGCGAATGATATGAGCGCTAAATGTCTACCTTCAAATGTGAAGTCATAATGAGTGGTTCATCCACTCCCAGTTCAAAGTGCGCGAGATTTAAAACTGCACCTACAAAAATCTATGATTGATTGTTCTTGCTCTTCAATCAATAGGTTTACACAGTACGAAGGTAATCCACCCAATAGTCGATAATACTAAATTTACGAAGAAAATAATAATACGATCTTTCAAGCTTACTAGTAGTATCCTAAGCTTCTCTAAACACAATACCACATAACAACTTGTAAACATCACTAATATTCAATAATCATCATCAATAGTATATTATGACACATTCTCTTAAAATGGAGGTCATGTCTGCTTTATTTTAAATAACAAAATGTACACTACAAAAGAGTGTACACTTAAATTTGGAGCTGAGAAGTAAGAAAAATAAGTTGCTTTAGAGGGAATGTAAACAAGTTTATTAATAGAGGGTCTAAAAGTTCTACCCTTAAAATATCATAAAACCTCAAATGTTGCAATTAATTTATGTAAGGCATTTTTTCCTTCAGTCCACTTCACAGGCTTTAATTTAGGTTTAATAATTGGTATGTCAGGAACATTGTCTTCTTCTTTTTCATTGTGGCAGAAATCATCAATGTTTGGTTCAAGATCTTTCTTTGAGTTATGTGTCGCTTTTGTCTTTTTTTCTTTCTTCTTAGTATTGCCAAGGTCTGCATTTAATTCGACCAAATTGCTGTAGATTCTATCATTAAAATGAAAATTCAATTTCTTTGTGATCTGAAATTACATTTCAAATTTAGTAATAATTAAATGGTATAAATACCATAAGCATATGTAGAGTAGCATATAAGAGGTATTATTAATCAATGTTTTCAAAGTAAGTAAAGTACCTTTTCTTTTAATTCAACTTTGTCAATAAGATTGTCTGCTTCTATCACCGGTCTTTGAGGTACAATATTCTTAGCTTCAGATAAGTAATTTGCTAAAACTTCACTGGAGCATAAGGACGGTCGATCCAAAAGTTGTCCTTTTATTTGATGAACAGCAGTTGATTGTGAAGAGTCCGCATCTAGATCACATACAACTTGGTGACAGTTTTTAACTTTTTGCTCAGTATGTCGTACAAAAGTTTTTTTTACTTTATTGTCTGCACCAGCTTTTCTCATTGTTACTTCACTAAGTGGTGGTACCCCAATAAATTTAAAGTATAAAAGAATTAGATCTTTTTTACGCTTACACGTAGTACGTGTTAAGTTTTCTTCTATTAAAAATCATTTATATTCAATTATATGATAAATCAAATTAACAATACTGATAACGTTTTAAAATTTCAGATTTCCCCCGGCCGTGAGCTGCTACAGATTCTAAAAGCACATTTTGATGACCGATTTTGACAATTGACATCGCGCATACAAATCATTCAACACAGAGCGAAATGCATAAAAAAGTAACTATCGTTGTACAACAATAAAAACAACAATAAAGTATGTATATACATCATCAAGAAAAAAATATTATTTATTTGAAATAACTTTTATTCTCGATTTCATTAAGTAAAAAATCTATCTGAAAGATGAATATAGGGAGAGGCGACAGTTCCGTCATCTTAATCGACGTGTTAATTGTCAACTTTTTCAACACGTCGTCCAATGTTAATGTTTTCATTTAAAGAAGTGATTGATTTTAGCAGATTGTAGAATCTATCGGATTCTTAATTAATATAATAATTATAATTTGTAATGTACTTGAGTACAGCTAATTGATAAAATATTTGGTCGTTTTTAAATTCTCTTAAGTTTGTTGATAATTACGAAATTACAAAAATAAATTTAATAAACCTTTGTAAATAAATACGTATATTAAAGTAAAATATATTTTTAAACCATACTATGGATTTCAAGAGTTCCTTATTTTCGGTAAGTCTTACTTACGACTAACAAAATTGAATTTTATTGTACTACTGAGTGACATTTATTTGAAAACATTTTAGAATCCTGAAAATTTGCCAGTGGAAAATGTTATGATATCTGTCTCCAACGCAGGCGTTATTCAGAAAATTAAAGCATTGGTAAGGGTTACATAGAGATAATATGTTGATTTGTTATATGCCAGTAAGAAGTTGCAGATTAATATACTTTTTAATGAAATCATTATATTTACTCACAGGATCCATATTGGGTAGAGAAGAGAGATTTTATTCTATATGAGAGACCACCAACTGGTAGTGCATTAGTTATAGGAGCAGTAGACACATGGCGATCCAAAATATCAGTATATTTAGAGAATTTAAAGTGGCTTTTAAGTTTAGAATATCACAGGTACCAGTCTGAATTACATGCCCTTGCAAAGTTCATTATATATTATCCAGTAAATGGTCCTAATATTATTTATCTTTCTATAGATTTTGGAGCACAGCATTATATCATCCACAATGTATGGATGCTGTAATATCATTTCTACAGGAATCAAATCCCCCATACATTCCACCACATGAATGTAAAGAGGTTCAAAATCTGTATGAGGAAGTGAGGAGGATGGTGATCATTGTGTTTAGTAGGCTAGTTACCAACAAAGAGAGTAAGGTATGATGTTAACTTTTAATTACATCTCTTATATCTAAATGACTGTTCTTTGTGAAACATTTGTTTTGGAAGTATAATTATCAGAGAACAAACAAACCACATACACAACACGTAAAACCTCAGACAAACAGATCCTCTCCTTTGTTTATTCTTCTCATGATGACAATAACTTAACTTCAACGATTGATGGACTTACAGACACAATGGATGACAAAGGAACATATGGCTAGTCTAATATACGACAATTTTATATTTACAATACCAGTCCTGTGGGATATATGTCTCGCTTATGGGGCTGACAACAGCAAACATGTTTCAAGACTCATCGAGGCTGTGTATACATTGCAAAATCGATATGAAGCTGATACCGCACAAGCTCTGGTATTTGTTCATGAGGTAATACATCTGACACTAAGAATACAATGTGCTAATCGTTCTAATAAGATCATTATATTATTTCCTCCCACTTGAGGGACTCTGTAGGTGTGTCTTGTGGCTTGTTCCCGCCACTTATTAATATTTCTTCACTCATTCAGTTTTTATTTGTATCAAATATAATTGCAGGCTTTCAAATACATAATCCTTCAAGTGAACAAGGACTATGAGAGTGAAGGCCCACCCAATTTGCCTGAGACTTTCAAAGGCTTTAGTGAGATCAGGAGGCCAACAAACTCAAAGGCCCCGGAAAAGATAACATTTAGCATTCTCAGAGATCTGGTAGTACATTTGCTAGACACTGCTATGACCCTGAGGATATTTGTTGAAGTGTACCCTAATGGTGTGCATATACTGAGGAGTACAAACTTTGTCTTAAGGTAAGCGAATGAAACCAAATGATCTAGCTATTTAAAATTAACAATTTATAATATATATATATAATGATTTGAAATTAAGACATGTTAAGTAATGTTCAGTTTACAACATAGCAATGGACTACTTTTATTAAGTTTAGGTGGTTAAGGCAAGTAGTATGTTCATGAAACTGGTATATATATGTTTTCAGTATAGTCCAAGTCTATGAATATGGTATTCCTCATCTGTATGAGAAATTAGAAGAAATTGGGGACCAAACCAGCGTGACATACACAGAGGTGGAAGGTTACATTGATCTTGCCAGATCTGAGTTCATAGATGTCTTTAGAGAAATTCTGGCAGTTTATAAGAATGGAATATTTAGTGGGGAGTGAGTATATAATATACTTCTTTCATTTAGAATATATGAATTCAATTTTATGATGACCGTTAAAGTTAAAAGCTCTTACAAACCCTCGATTTCTTCTGTATTTTTTTAACCTACCAAATCAGTTTTATTTCTCGACCAATCAACTGCATGTTCTATGAATGCTAGTGAAAAATCGGTTTAGGATTGACAACCCATTAGTATTCAAAAAACGTTAAAGTCTTACGCTACATGCATATTGCATGTAGGCATAAAAAACTTACTTACATAAATACAATCTATTCATAGTTTTGTCAATAAACTTTATGTATTAATAACGATTTCAAATTTCCCAGGGGCAATATTTTGAACAGTGTGGAATCATATCTATCGGTGATGATGGATGCCCTGTCTGAACGCTTATTGATTAGGGACTACCACTCGTGTTACCCAGTACACGATGACATTGATATGCTGAGACAGGCTTGTCCTGACATGTATCCTTTACGTGATTCCCGTTTAAACATTGTGTCGAAGTCGCTGCCACAATTAGTTATTGATTTATAGTGGAGGGTAACCCAAAACCAAACCCCTCTGAAAGGAGGAAATGGGTGAAATGGTCGGCTGATGGCGGGGAATGATCACCCGGCCTTCTACAGGTGTCCCCTTTAGAAAACAATAATAAATTATTGATATTAGAGATCTTTATAAGTGATTTTCCTTATTAACATATATCAGTGATACAGTTAAAACCGACTTCATCCTTCAAGCAATATACTCCAACTTTGATGAAGGAGTTCCCGAACGAGAACACAGGACAACTAATAATGACATGAATGGACACATTGAAGCCACAGATACACAGAGTTTCCCTCCAGAAGATATGCCGGATGATGTACGAGAACAGTCCTTGATCAGCGAAGTTAAAGATATCTTACCACATCTTGGAGATGGGTTTATTCTAAAATGTCTGGAACACTATGATTTTCAAGTGGATAGGGTGGTTAATAGTATACTAGAAGATACCTTAGCAGATTCCTTAAGAAGTAAGTTATAAAAATGTTACTTTTATCAATATGTGACAACATAACTATTAATTCGAAGCTAAAATAGGTCGACAGTGTATCACATTAGATGTTATATGGGCTGGGGTATCAAGTGAAGTCCATGTTAGTCTGTGTTCCTCATCTATACTTACAATATTGTTACTTCCTAGTACCATCAATTGTTTCAGAAATAGACAAAGATCTCCCAATAATACCAGAAGATGCCGTAGACAAGAAGTTCCTAGAGACCGGTGTGGAAAGACTAAACATCTTTGATGGTGACCAATTCGATATAATGACCAGAGACGATGTGGACCTCAGTAAGATCCATGTTGGCAAGAAACGGTCCAAGTACAAGGACCTAAAGGACATGCTAGACGACAAGACAGAAGTGAGGAATATGGGAGATATTTATAGCAAATATAAGTAAGCATACAAGCTTCCAAGTGAATTATAATGATTTAAATTACTTTTGCTTCAGAACAAAGAAGATTGAACCTCAATGCTTTAATTTTAAGATAGCAATTAGCTTGCGCGATTGCTGGATTGCGATTTATTGTATTTTCAAATCTTCATTCCAGTCTTGTCTGTGATGAAGAGGCGTTATATTCGGATGAATATGATGACACTTATGACTCGGATGGAGTAGCGCCTACCACCGACTTAGGGGATGACCCCCGACGACCATTTGTGACTCCGCGCGCTTTGCAGACTACGAGAAGAGAATATGATGTAAGTATTAAACTGAGCCAAGAGGCTGGGACCAAGTCTTACCACGGGTAAATGGCATTGCTGAATGTTGACTGATTGTTATTGTTAAGGTTTTTTGAGACCCTCGTGTTGACATTAAAATTTGTCTGCTGTTAACCTATTTGAGTAAGTATGTTTCATGTAACAATAAAAACTTTTAAATTTTAAATACCATAATGAATTTTGCAAAAGGAGTCTGACGAATCGGAGGAAGAGAGACCCAGTGGGAGTCAAGAGAAGAGTGAAAGAGATAGAAGAGACTTTTGTGTTAATCCCGAGGAAATTCGTGCGCGAAGAGAGGCTAATATGAGTGCTAGAGGAAGGCGGACCAAACCAGCGGCTATTAGGTGAGTTGACGAAACGGGGGTTAAACACCCCCATTTAAGCTAGCCCTGCTTGACACATTTTTTGGGTTTTATCTACCTGGACTATTTTTTGGCTTTTGCTGTTAGTTTACATATAATGTAATGATGCATGTCTTGAAAGGTGATGTTTAGACAGTTGTAACTTTTTGTCAAGACCAAAAGCAAGAAAAAAGTGTTGGAGACATTAATCAATAAGATCGTTATATATTATTCTTTTTTTCACGACGACCATTACAAATCAAATGTTTAATTAAACACTTTTACGGTTTAATACGCGATTAGTTAAACTTATTTAAAAATTTATTTTAACTACGGCCTAACGTTTCGGATGCCCGTGACCACGACGGCTGCAAAACATCCAAAAACGTCGGGCCGTTTCATTTAAATGTGGCAGTATTTAAATCAAATGTTATTAAAATTACAGAAATACGGATGTGGCAGGAGCACCTAAAGGTCACGGTCAGACTAAAGAAGTGCTCCAAAATAGGGAGCGAAAAGAGAAACACAAGTCTTCACGCGGTAACCACAACCGTCGCCAGGGCGCACAGTGGAAGAGAAGCCAGGGAATGATGCCGTCCTAAAATGCAGTAGAGAGTCCAAAATATTTATGATTTGTGAAGATACCAGTTCTACACTATTGCGTTGTGAAGATAGACTATATACTAAATTTAAGCTGTCTAAGCTAATATATTTAAATGAAATAAAATATATTGACTAAACTGAACTGAGCTACCGGTCCGAGTTGTAAACTGGCTAGCTAATGCAACGGTAACAGTGCAAGCATTATAAACATTGGGTTCGAACATTTTTGATATTTTTTGGAACAGTATCGTGTCACACACCACAAATAACAGACGGTTTGAAGTCGTGAGGCCTGCGTCTCGGTTTCATTCAAAAGGTCGACGGCGCATTGGTTCGTTATATAGTTGAGGTATTTCAACGTCGATCAATTCTGTGTATTAAAATAAACTCGATGGTGGTTTTAAATAATAAAAAAAACACTTACCATCAAGCGTTACTTAGCATGCTTGTTTAATAGACACTATTCATGGTCTGCAAAGTTAACAATATAACATGTAATTTTTTACTTACGTGACTGCAATGCGCGCTATAATTAATTCTTCGTAGAAATTTATTACAGACATGATATTTTTATGAAAATTCTTTACCTCCACACTTAATCTATTTCTGTATTGGAAATTGTACAATGTTAAAATTGGTAATCTTCATAAATGTAAAAATATTAATGTGTATTATGGAACATTTCGTGTAACGAAATAAAGCATTATTTATTGCATTTTTTTTATTATCCTCCCTAAATTTCCCTCTTTTTAATGGCATTTGGTAGGAATACCGTTGGCCGCCTCCATAGCTCAACAATTAAACACTTCGTCTAGCATTACAATTGAACAACTTCTTTAATTCTTAAAAATCGATTTAGTTTGAAAAAAATTTACCACACGGGCAGGACTTGAACTGGCATCTACAGCGTTCTTGCTCTGCTTGCGTTGCTCTTTATTACTTTCTTAATTAAATACAGTCTGTAGTACACATATAAATAAAACACTAACGGTTAAATTTTCACTCATATAAATCGCGTTTTAAACCTTCTAAATTCCTTATTTATAACGAAGTCGCGGGCGAAACTCCGTAAAAATAGCAAAAAAGATAAATATTCAAGATGAGTAGTGTAATCGTGGCGCGTGGTGCGGCGAATAAAAGGTCAGCGAAATGGTTATGAATAGAGCTACGTGTTCCGAATCGCAATTCCTCATCTGAGGCAGAGCGTGGACGTGGCTGCGAGCGGAGCGGAAAGGGAAACAATTAAAACTATGATTGGGTGGTCTTGACGAAGGCAAAGGATGGACAAGTAACGCCATGAAACGCATAATGTGCAAAGCACACACATCTTGTTCAACTGTAGAGGTTAAAGTCAACTTCTATCAATTAGAGTCCCTCTGTGTCGTAAAAAAACTTGATGGTGAAGCAAAACGAAACGTCGCGTGGTAGTTAGTTCATTAAGAAAAAACAATTATTGGAGGTTTTTATTATACCTATTCGTTTTTGCTAGTTACGATAACTAAGTACATACAGGTACTTCTGATTACTTACATAGTATTATATGCATACACTTGACGCAGTGCCAATTAAATGTACTAGTGCTATGCACCGTTCTTATCGTGATTTGAAGTTTCTTTTCAATGTAATCTTTCAAAGAATAAATCGCTATATGCACAACTATATCCACAACCTGACATCAAAGAGTCGCCGATGACTATAAAAGCACCGTAATATTGGCCATAACTTACGTCTTCATAGGCGCATAAACTTGACAACAATGGCGCAGCTAACGCATAATTCATAAGCGTACGACATCGCTGTAAATAACAATTATTGCGATATGAACCAACTACACATCCGTCAAACGATGTACACAGCTGCCATAACACCGACGACTATACTTATATTGGTACTAGCTGTGCCAGCGACTTCGTCCACTAGGAATATTTATTTTGGGCATCCAAATTCGTTTTTGCAAGACCCGTCCTCTTTAACTTAAGCTGTTACCCACGTCATCGGTCGCGTCCCTTCCCGTCGTTCTTGCAAGTTAATCTTAAAATATAGACATATAGCATCGCGAACATTTTTTAAGATCATTTAAAGAGGAATCATTCTTACATTTTTATTGGGTATCTTGAATAGTAAAACCGCTCGTGTTTTCGGCAGCACATACAGGAACTATAATATTAAATTAATTTAAAAATAATGAATGATGGAATCATTTTCATCACAAACTTAAACAAATAACCGTTAAAAAAGAACCGTCAGTTATTCTTGGAGACTTTGTCAAGCGGAATGCTCGTTTTTTATTATTATGTGAGGACTGCAAATACCAAAGCCTTAAAGGTAAAACACTTTATAATGATAGTCGATCACACTTAAGCCATTTTTTCACAAACAATGTCTTAATAGTCCAACATCTCCAGGTAAACAAAAGGGTAGCATCTGCTTCGCACTAATCTTAAAGTGTAATATATTTATAGATATTTGTATAAAACCCTTATATAGGTTTCAAATGCCAATTTAACAACCCGTCCCCTCGTTACCACGACTGTTGTAAAGCATCCGAAACTTCGGGCCGTAGTTAAAGTAGATGATAAAAAAGGTAACTTATACATTTCACGTTTTGAACCGTTAAAAGTTTTTACGTGTTCTATTCGCGTAAACTACAGACAACTAGATAGTACATAATCCATACTGTATACACTTACAATATTTAGTTTTTGCCGAATACAGTTAGAAGTATATTTTGGCCATCTTTGTAATTTTTATATTGACTAAATTAGATCAAAGTCGTAAGAGATAACGATACGGATTGTTAAGAATATTAAATCTCATCTACAATTTGCTTATTAGGAAAAGAAACAGCTCGTGATCTAAGTGAAATCGTTGAACGGCGAAATAACGTAATCGGCGTAATAATTCGCAGAGAACCCGTAGTGGTTTAAAGCGCCGCGCTGGATGTTCCAGCATATGACGCTAATGTCGGTTTAATAATGTCCTTACGGCAAAGTGGCATTCGTCTAAACCCGTATATTTCATTATATGGCCGCTAATGGCCGGCATTAGGGCGGGGCGGAAGGATTTAATAATCGAGCGGCACGATAAAATTGCGATGTTCGCTGCGTATGCGCCGCGGGCGGTAGTGATGCGCAATGTCGATAATTTGTAGCACAGTTGCGTTTTTATAGTTTATCCATCAGAACGCTCAAGGTGTGCGTAATGGTCGATAATTGTACTGCATTAACGATTTCTTTTGTAAAGTTACTACTTGTTACTAAGTAGGTTCAACTCTTTTTTACATATTCGTACCATTACATTTTATTACGCGAGAGGTGCAAGTAAAAAGGAATTAAAGTCGTTACAGAGAAGCTCAATTGATAACACGATGAAGTCGTAGGTTCGGGTCCAGCTCGTGTTATTCTTTTTTCCCATCTGTAATAACTTGTAAGTTAATATTAAAAAAAAACACACACACGGGTGTCTTGCAGCAACCGTGGTCACGTGGAGACTCCGAAACAACGGACAAAGCATGCGATACGTCGGGTCGTAGTTAAAATAATGTTCAAATAAGTTTAACAAATATAAATCTCGTTTTAAACCGTTGAAGTTTTTTATTTAAACTGTAATACTCGCGTAAACTATACAGATATTAGGTTCTATCGCTGTAATAGTGAGTATACAAATTATTATACATATTGCTTTAATCCCTTACCAAGAACTAATAAAAGTAATTTTGTCAATTCCATCGATGTGAGCGAACATATAGACGCACCACTAGATGACAGGTATAATTTATTTCCCATTGAGTGTAGTTGTGTCGATTATTATTATTGTTCCACGAACACAGAGCCTCGGCAGCGCAAGCGCATAAAATACAACAACTGTCTGTTACCGATTATTTTTGTACACTTCGAGGATACAATGTTTTATTTAGCCTGAACAAGTAGTAAATACACTGGTAAAATGGAAAGTTACCACTTTATGTCAAATAAATAGTTTTATTTATTAATGAGTAATTTTTTGCAATTAAGAAAAAGTTAGGACATACAGTATTTGCTCTGTATGTCCTAACTTTTTCTTAATTATACAATGATATAGCATTGTCTGCATTTAAAACTTCTCTGCAATTAAAAACGGTTTAAAACGAAATATATTAGTTAACGTATTATATGTTTCCGATGCCTGTTCCTTATGCCTTAGTCTCGGGGGGACAAAAACGAATCGTCGGGCCGTAGTAAAAATAAAATAAAACTAAGTAAATTCAAACATATCACGTTTCAAACAGTTAAAAGTGTTTTATTTACATAGTATAGAAGTTATAAACAGCTGGCTTGGCATCGATATAACTACCACTACAATTATCAACAATGCTTCGCTGATTATAAATTTATTGGAAATAGGCGCCCATCGTTAGTTTTCATATGTGCTACTCAACAATCAAAAAGATATTAATAAAAACCAGATTCTTTATGGTCGTGCGTATTATTCTACTGGACATTAAAAGTCGATACGTCTTGAAGCATTAATTTCCCGGCGGGAGCTGACCCTAGCTCTCTAATGACTCGTAATTACAATCCAAGTAATGTCGGTCCGCTACAAAGCGCTCCATTTGGTTTCGCCTTTTTACTTTTTTCCTGCGCATACGCTGCGCCGGCCGGCCGCGGCGCGAGTTAGCTTGTTCTTGGGTAAAAATTTATTTTGCTTTTTATATCTTTCACAACATGATGATTGCTACTGTCATCTTTGCCTACGTCTATTTTGAAATAATATCAAAAAAAACATATTGATATCACAATAAAGGTAACAAAAAAATACACAGAAACAACTCGAAAAGAGAAAGCTCCCATTTTTAACATGTTAATAAACAGTTTGTTTTGTTTGTAATATATTCATTAATTAAGAAGCAATTTTAAATTGAACAAATTTACGACTCGAGCAGGACTTGAAAAGGCATCTACAGCGTTCCGTGCTGTTGCCCTAACAGATTGAGCTACCGAGCCCTACACGTAATCCTCGA